GCGCGAAGGGAACATTCAGTGCTTTCAGCACCGCCCTCTGGCGGTCATCCGGGATTCATAGAACCGTAGTTACATACGTAACTTTCGATTCATCAAAGGATGTCACACTAAACGATCACACTGAGAAGAAAACAAGATGCATGTTCTAGTCACTGGTGTAGTGCAGGGTTTGGGTTTGTACAGCGATGAGTCGCGTTCAGTTCAGTAATGAGCTGCATATGAAAATTATGACAGCATTTGATAGGGAGATTTTTTCAGGTTAGAAATTAATTGAGTTTAAAATATTAAATATACATTAAGCTACAACTGATTTGAACCAAAGTAGAAGATGCGTTTTACAGCTAAACACTCAATAAACAGTGAAACGCTGCCACCTGCTGGTCAAAACTGGTAACTGCACGGTGGCTTTTGAGTTTTATTAAAAAAAGAGAGGAAAAGAGTGCCTGGCCAAAACAAAAACGGGAACACTTAAAATGTCATTGGACTATCTTTAGCTTTCATTACAGTGTCATTCAGCGCAGTGGAGAGCATCCTGTGCTCCAGCATCAACATGTGGCATGGAGGCTGCACAGCTGCAGAAAGAAAAGCTTTGCAGAGAGTGGTGAAGTCTGCACAGAAGACTGTTGGAGTCAGTCTCCCCACCATCACAGACATCTACACCTCCAGATGCAGGAAGAGAGCCACCTGTATCATGAAGGACCCCACTCACCCAGCACACACACTTTTTGCCCTGTTCCCCTCAGGCAGAAGGTTCAGGAGCATTAAGTGTAGAACCACTAGACTGAGGAACAGCTTCTACCCCGAAGCTGTTAGAATCATGAATCTCTAATCAGAATAATCCACCCCATGAACCACGTGTGGTGGAACGACAATAAAGAATCTCCGACTGATTCTCTGTGGCATCATTTTCAAAAGCTTCTGCAATGTCACAACATTCATTTCTGTCCTGAGTTGCGTTAATTTTTCACCAAGATCTTGTAATGATGAGAGATTCCGACTGCTTGGCAAAGTCTTCTCCAGCACATCCCAAAGACTCTCAATGGGGTTCAGGTCTGGACTCCGTGATGGCCAGTCCACGTGTGAAATGTTCTCTGAACCACTCTTTCACAGTTTAAGCCTGATGAATCCTGGGAACATGCCCATGCTATCAGGGAAGAAAACATCCATGGATGGAATAACCTGGCCGTTCAGTTTTTCAGGTAAGGCGAGATCAGCTGAACTCATTCTTTGAGCTCAGAATGTTGCTGAACCTAGACCAGACCAACCCCAGAACATAGACTGCCCCCACAGGCTTATAATAATAATAATAATAATAATAATAATAACACATTTAATTTGAGGGCGCCTTTCAAAAACCTAAGGTCACCTTACAAAAACTAACAAAAACAACAAAAACAATGTATATGACAACACTTAGGACCAAGTTAAAGTGAATGTGTCTGTTTGAACAGATGTTTTCAGCTTGTACGATACGCTCCAAGCTTGATGGGTACATCACTTCAGCCACCTCTTCCTACCCTGATGTGCTCCTGACTTTGGAGCAGGGTAACAGATCACATGACCTTCTTCTATTGCTCCAGAGTCCAATCTTTATGCTCCCTCACATATTAAAGCTGATGAGTCTCACTGATAAGTGGTTATCTTATGGCTACACAGCTGTTTGGTCCCACTCCCTTGAGTTCCTTTCACACTGTGTGGTAATGCTCTTACTTTCACTAGCTACCAGTTTTACTGCCATCTTTCTACAATTTGATTTCACCAAACATTTAAGTGATTGCGTTTCTGACCACATACCTTCATCAAAAATTCTGTTTCCCCACTGTCTTTCCAGTTCTTAATCTGAGTTTGGTCGTTTTAGCAATCTTAGATGTTTTCTCTGCTTGATGAAAATAATTTGACCCTTCCTTTCCACGTGGTTGTTGAACAACAGAGAAGCTCCTCACGGCATCAGTCAGGGTTAAACACATCCACCAGCTCTGTGACGTCATCATGGAGGAGCGGAAGAGGATTCCAGGGGCGACCTGTGAAGCTCTAGTGAACTCCACGACCGAGAGTTAAGGCGGTTCTGGACAATAATGGTGGCCACACAAAATATTGACATGGGGCATTTTCACTTAGGGGGTGTACTAACTTTTGTTGCCAGTGGTTTCGACATTAATGGCTGCGTTGAGTTATTTTGAGGGGACAGTAAATTTACACTGTTATACAAGCTGTACACAGACTACATTGTATCAAAGTGTCATATCTTCAATGTTGTTCCATGAAAAAATACAAGAAAATGTTTACAAAAATGTGAGGGGTGTACTCAGTTTTAGGAGATACTATAAAACAATCAGCCAGGCAGTAAATATCCAATGGGAGGCTCTTACCCATTTGCTTAGCTTAATCCAGGTGGCTACCTGTTCTTTTTGGCCTGGCTGTGCCTTATAAGTTTAGTTTAAAACAAAGTGGTCCAATTTTTTTTCATGTTAAATAAAATAAATATTAACAAATTTCACACAACCCACAATAGATTAGATTAGATTAGACTACAGTGATGTGAGGCGTGATTACAAGTGAAAAAACATGTAGCTTTTCTAAATTCCCACCTGATCAATCAGATGAGCAGCCAGGACTTCATGCATATTTAATATGACTTAATTTGAATTTGGCATCCAAGATTGAGACCCGACAAAAAAACAACGCTAAAACGTCTATAATTCAGTTAATCTTACAAACGTGCAACAACTGGACGTGGTAGTAGCCGAGTGATTCTCAACAAACTGTTCAGGCTCGACCGAACCAAACACAACGATCATTTCTCTAATTAGACAGTCGTAGTTTAAAACCTAAGGACTGCTAGGTCTTTCATTTGTTAGGATTAAATAAACCCAGCAGTTTATACAAAAACTTTTATCACCTCTGAATATCAGTTTCTAAATATTTAAATCTAATCTGGACATTCAAATCCAGATTTTATACCAAGATATTTCAGAATCTGTAGAAATCTGCCTGACAGCACCATCCCACATCACCAGATTAACTTTGTGAAAGTGTAGAAGCACTGCAACAATATGACTGTTGACATTCCACATGAACAAGATCAACTGTGAGACTCGTGCAGGCTCTTGTGCTGCAGCGACACGTCTGCAGGGCACTAGCTCAACATGAAGACAGAAACTCAATCACAAACTGCAGTTTCATTCTCACTCTCTTACTTTGGTCTACAAACGAGACGTGTTGGTGTTTCCATCATTACCTGTTCGTCCTCCTCCGCTGAGTCTTCGTTAGCGTAACGAGTATCATCAGCTTCATCGTCGTCATCGTCAACCAGCTCGGGGCGGAACTCGAACACCTCACGGCCGCTCACCTTCAAGAACACGTTAAAATCAGCATCGCTCAGCGTGTGGGTTTAAAAAGAGCAGTTTTTCTTCAATGAACTCACCACGAGAGACTTCCCGGCCTTAAAGTCTGCTTTCTTTTTCTCCATCTCCTCCCGGGCTTTGTCCACCTGGAACCATCAGAGAGGGGACGAGGTCTGAGCCAAGTCTCAAATCACCACAAGACCGCGTCCTCAGGGAAACGTTTTCTGTTGCTGCTTTTAAAAAATAAAAAAGTTCCAACCTTCTCCTGCCTTTTCCTCTTCTTCCAGGCCAGGAAAGTCTCCAGGGTGATCCGAGTTACGTTTGGACCCAGAGCTGCACGCTGAGGACGAGAGACAGACAGACGTCAAGAAAAAACAAGACAAATCAACCTTCAGAGTGATTTAGTGATCTTTAGGATATTGTTCTTTAATTCAAGTCTCTTCTATTGTTTTCACCAGAACCGATGCCCTTCTGTTAGAACACTTAAAGAAACTTGATGTTTAATGAAAGTTTCTGATCCGAGTCTGTTCTGGAGTCCATGACCACTCTTGGCGTCACGCCACCGAGCCTCACCTCGCGCTCTATTAGCTCCTCCAGTGAGATGTCGTCCTCTCTCTCCTCCTTCTTTTTGTCTTTCTTCAGCACAAATCCAGGCGGCAGGGCGTGTCGGTACATACAGTTGTCCCCCCCCGCTGGACACACCCAGAACCAGCCGTATTTGTTGTTTTCTATGGCGTCCAAGAAGTACTTACACACCTGCAAACAAAAAAGAAAATGCAGCTCTAAAACTGAATCGTATTAAAGTTCAGGGTGGACAACTTGAGGCTTTTTGATTCACATCTATCCATATTGATCAGTTCGTGTTAGTCATAGGCATGAGTGAATGTTTTCATCATTTTTACAAGCGTACGCACCATACGGTGTGTGTGTGTGTGTGGGGGGGGGGATGTAACTTTTCAAAATAACCAGTGGAACTAAAACAGGTGGAGCAGAACTCTGCTGTGCTGAACCAGAGTGATGTGTTCAATGCCAGTCGGGACATCTCCTTTGTGTACTTTATTAATGAATTAACTCACTTTGGCAATACTCTGTGTAGTTATTTATTTTTAAAACAAACAAAAAAAAATGCTGTCATCAATATTCCCCATTCACTCATATCACATAAGACTCATTACACAGACTGAAACATTTCAAGCCTTTATTTCTTGTACTTTGATGATTATGACTTACAAATTATGAAAAAACAAAATTCAGTGTCTCAGAAAATGAGAATGAAATGAAAATGAAATGAAAATGAGAATACTGTGAAGAGCTTCAACATTGTAAACTCCTGGTGTCACAGCCTACCGTATTTTTTGCCCTATAAGTCACAGTTTTTTGCATAATTTGCATGCCCTGTGACTTAAACGCTGATGGATTTTCTCCCCATATTTATAAACCAATGTTTGGCTGAGATATGACCGTTTTCATTCATTCTGACATTGAAAATATTGAACAACAACATTTTCAGCTGCTAGATGGCACTTGAGCGGTATGGCATGCCATTGTGTCATGTAATATGTAAAAGTGGCTATTAATGACACAATTGGCCCACCTTCGTTCTGCTCGCCGTCAAATCCGCCTCATTTCGCTGCGTCGCCCCGATGAAATGCAGCCAATTTGACCATTAAAGTGCATTTATTAAGTAAAAGTTTAACTGAGACAAACCTTTTAGATATAATGTCGAGCAAACAAATAATTGTTTTTAAGTGTTAATCTTGTTAAAGTCCTCCTGTGCACACTCTCGCGGCCGCCATTTGGCAGCCCATCAATTTTTGACAACACCGGCCCACATTTCCAGTTTGTCAGCGGTGACACGTAACAAACGCGACGCGTCAGTGGTGATGCATAATAGATGTGACGTATACGGCCAAGTGACATATTTATGGATTTTTTTTCCACTTTATTAGACATATTTGGACTGATGCGACATTTACGTCAGAAAATATGGTAATCAGCTGATGAAACTCCCAGACATGAGCTACAAATGTCTCACACCTCAAGTTCAGCCACTCCTGAACCAGAGACATCAGAAGTGTCTTACCTGCTGAAGACAAAAAGAACTGGCCTGTCGCTCAGTGGTCCAATGTCTTCTTTTCAGATTAAAGTAAATGTTCATCCAGCCATCATCTTTACCTGCTTCTTCCTTTTCAGGTTGTTTCATGTCATTTATAAATCAAGGTCTCAGAGTGTGGAGGAAGAGTGGAGAGAATCCACGTTGCTGAGGTCCAGAGTGAAGTTTCCACAGTCAGTGATGGTTTGGGTCCATGTCCTTTGCTGGTGCTGGTCCACTGTGTTTTCTGAAGTCCACAGTCCACGCAGCATCTAGCAGGACATTTTGGAGACTTCATGCCTCCTTCTGCTGACGAGCTTCATGGAGATGATGGTTTCATTTTTCAGCAGGACTCGGCACCGGCCCACACTGACAAAGGAACCAGAACCTGACTGTGGAATATTCTCAGTTTCTGAGAAAATGAATTTTATTTTTCATCATCTTTAAGTTATGATCATCAAAATTACAAGAAATAAAGGCTTGAAACATTTCAGTGTTTGTAATGAGTCTGTAATTGACGGGGGAAGTTATGTAAAGGTCATGGATGTTTTCACTTACTAATGTTAATATAGAACCATGTATGTGAAGTCAAGAGAGTCTTTCTGTCTACTCAGAGAGGAGTCTGATAACTGATAACTTCTGATGCCTTCAACAACCCCCTGCCCTGAACACAAGAGGATCTGCAGTGGAAGTGGTCTCCAGCTACAAGCACTTGGGTGTGCACCTGAACGACAACCTCAGCTGGAGCAACAACACCACCAGCCTGATCAAGAAAGCTCATCAGAGACTCTACTTCCTCAGGAGGCTGAGACGAGCTGGTCTGGGAAGCTCAGTCCTCACCTCCTTCTACAGGTGTGCAGTGGAGAGCATCCTGTGCTCCAGCATCAATGTGTGGCATGGAGGCTGCACAGTTGCAGAAAGAAAAACTCTGCAGAGAGTGGTGAAGGCTGCACAGAAGACTGTCGGAGTCAGTCTCCCCACCATCACAGACATCTACACCTCCAGATGCAGGAAGAAGATCACCTGCCCTGTTGCACCAGGAAGCAGAGAGACCACAGCAGCAGAAGACCACCGAGGCCACTGCTGTCAGCTGAGAACAGGAAAGTGAAGCTACACTTCATAGGCTCCACAAAAATGGACAAAGAGATTAGATGAATATTGCCTGCTGGGTTTTGTTGGATCTAAAGACAGCTGTGAGTAAAAATCCCAGCAGACCAGCAGTTTTTAAACACTCAGACCAAACCCTCTGGCACCAACAACCACGCCACATTCAAAGTGTCAAACTCTTTTCATCCTCGTTCTGATGCTCAGTTTGCGTTTCAACAAGTCGTCTACAAGCCTGAAGACAGAGTCTTTACCATGCGATGGCTCATAAACTCACAACCATTCTAACAGGTGGACCTAATAAAGTGATCAGTAAGGGAATATTTTTGATTTCCTAACCCCGGTCTGAGTCAGTTTTTGTCCTGGCATCTCTCATTTATCCAATATTTCTCAGTCAGGTCATCTGGACAGTTTCTGACTGATGAAGCCCTCCGGATAGAGGGCGAAACGTCTTTATAAAAAAAAAAAAAAAAAATAAACTGTCCAGATGACCTGACTTAGAAATATTGGACTTGATGCCTGGATGATTGAGCATGAACTTTGTTGATCTCTTATTTATCCTCGTACTGCCTGATTTGTCTTTGTTATAAAACTTCCCAGCAAAAAACAAACAAACAAACAAACAAATCACTAAATATTTATAACCCCAGACTTACAATTTGAGTTTTAGCCTTCTTCTTCTCTGCCTCTCCGTGTTTCTTGTTGATTACTTCCTCCAGTTTCTTTTCGTCCCAGTTCTCCATAGTATCTGTACAGAACCACAAGTCCAAACATAAACAAGCAGCACATCCACGTCCCGCCGCTGAGGGTTTGACTACTGAATGTTTTGGAGTTTTCAAGATGAGTGTTTTTCTGGACTGGGGTTGAACAGAGAATGCACGTAAACCTAAATGTTTTTTAAAGTGGGGAGGAGTTACAATGTGGAGAACAGAGGGAGGTGTTTTTCTTGTTTGAGGCGGAGCAGAGTGACAGATCCTGAAGAGTGGAGGGAGCAGTTTTATCCACCACCAGGAGCAATGGTGTGTGTGTGTGTGTGTGTGTGTGTGTGTGTGTGTGTGTGGGAATAGTGGCCTTGCCCTCCATAGATGAATCTTCAACCACCCCGATCATTTGACAAAACTTTACATTTATGCAATATGAAAAACAAACAAAAAAACCCCAAACAGTTTCCTCAAATGATAGGAGTGGCTTGCTTGCACATGCACACATGGCAGTAGCCATTTTGGATTTTGGCATGGCGACATAATTTTTGAAAGGAAGCTTTCTCATGCCTACATGCAGCCACAAATCAAACTGTGTCAGTACCTCGCTTATTTCTCAAGTTATCATGCTCACAACATGCAGAAGGGCAGATGGGGGGAGGGTATTTCCAATTCTCTCTCTTCGCTCCACAACGAGGGACAAAAACACTGTACTAAAATATATATATATATATATTTTTTTTTTTTCCTAAAAAAAAAAAAATCATTCCTTTAAAAAAAAAAAACCAACCAAACAAACATCTAATTAGAATGAAGTAAATTCTTCTTCACAATACACATTGTGGCATTAGGAGAGTGGTGGCACAGAGGTTATTAGATGGGCCAGTGATCAGAAAGTTGCAGATTCAACTCCCGGTACCATCAACATCAAAATGTGGGTGGAAAAAGTGGAACACCCACACCTCCCTCCACCCTCATCACCCCACTCTGGGCCCCTGAGCAAGGCCCTTAACCCCCATCATCTGCTCCCTAAACAGGTCTCGTTTGAAAAAGTTCTCGTGGCTCCTGGATAAATAAAGAGTAAATGAAAAAAAAAAAAAAAAAAAGGAGAAAAAAATTAAGCCTGGCACTGGCAGCTGAGTGGTTAGAGCAGTTGTCCTCCAATGGAAGAGTTGGGGGTTCAATTCCACCAGCAGTCACGTGCTGAAGTGTCCCTGGGCAAGACATTGTCTCTGATGTGTGTCCCATCGGTGTATGAATGTGATCAAGCTCTGATTAATCTTTGTACAGATCTAGTAGAGTGCTGTATGAATGTGTGTGGAGGTAAATGAAGGCACAGATTGTGCTGTAAAGAGATTTGAGTATCTTGATTAGATAGAACGTACAGTCCATTTACAATAGATTTTTAAAGTGTTTAACACACAAAATAATTTTAAGTCAAAGGAAACACATCCTTCAATTTAGTCAACAACCGAGCAGCTGGTCTGGTTGGTACGATCATAATAGTCATTAATAATTCCTGCCATTTTTATAATATCAGTGTGTCTGGGAGACAGAAAAATGAATTATTCTTATGTTAGTTCTTAATAATAATAATAATCCAATTCAAATAAAAACAAAAATAAACATCCACGTAATGACATTCTCCAAACCTTAATGTTGCCTTCTTTTTGAACATTTACCTTTGATAAACATCTTGTTGCCTCATCAGACACTAAACTGAATTTAAAGCTTGTCCACTGACCTTTCTCCAGGTCTTCGTCTCTCTCGTCCACGTAGACGCTCTTCTTCTCACATTTTCTCTCCATCGACAGGTCGTGGCTGAACTTACACTTGTCACCCTTGGTACACTGGCCCTGCTTGAAGAACGCACACAGCACCGACTTTGGATCAACCCCTGCATGGGAGACAAAAGGGACTGATCAATAATCTTTTCTGGACTGCTGGTTAAATCCAGTGCTCACCATTCAGCAAATATTTCAGCTTTGTAACACGAGGCACACAACAGCTGCATACGTCACCTTTGCTGACTTTCTGCGCAGCGACTACAGGCTTGAACAGCTCGTTGAGTTCGTCCAGCTCTTTCTTCTTATCAGACTTTTTATTGCCTTTGTCTGCCTCAGCCTGGGCAATCTGAACAGATGTGGGAGAAGTTTAAATCGCATCCTGTTGAATTTCATTTTAATCACAAATGAATATGATTCAGGTAGTGGAGACAAGTACAACCCACTGACCTGTCGGGCGTTTTGTTGTCCATACTTGACTTGTTGAGTGACGTTCTTGATGAACTTCTGCTGCTTGGCCCCTTTTTTGTTCTTCAAACCAAAAGTTTTGTCCTGAGAAAAAATAAAAAATAGTTTAATATTTAACGCTCAACATCTTCCTGAAGAAAGCATGTTCACGTCTGGGTTCACACTTTGTTTATATAAAAAGTTACAATTTATTTATTTAAAGGCAACAGCTGTCGAATAAAATAAAACTACATTATTACTTTAATCCAAATCTGGTTTAAACAATGCTGATGTCCCCCGTCACTGAGGGATTTGAACATTAAATCTAGTTTTCCAGATGAGCGTTATTCTGGACTGGAACTGAACAGAGAATACAAGTAAACCTAAATGTTTTTGATCGTGGCAAGTGGAGGAAGCAATTCTATCCACCACCAGGCGAAGTGGAGGAGATGGGGGTCTGGGGGTAACAATAAAGTAAACTATACTAGTTTTCAAACAAAAACCTCCCTTGTGCTGAGATGCAGCCACACCCCAGAATGGAGGTCAGTACTTCATTTATTTTTCAAGTTATGCTCACAAAGTGGACGGATGGACAGACGGCATTTCCACGACGGGCCAAAAAGCAGCAGAAAAAGTTGGACAGAATGAAAATCTAGAGATGTGAAAGATGAGTCATTTCATTACTGGACTCCTGATCTAAGCAGCTACACGAACAGTGTAAATGATCAAACCAAAGCAATAAGTTGATCCATCTTCTCACCCAAGGCAACTTAAGGCCTGTTCGCACGGGATTCGTTTTACCTAAGGACCACAAGTAATAAATAAATTACTCCCCAGCGTCTGCTTTTTATGTGGCGCATTCACACGGGATAACAAAAGACTGAGATTTAACTGAAATTTACGTATATCTTCTGGATATTATATTAACACGCTGCGTTGTCACGACCGGGCTGGTCCATAATAACGTGCTTAATGTGTGGGCCGGTCTCAGGCTTTGATGTGCTTTTATGAATCAGCATAAAGAAAACTAAATAAGAATAAACAATATAAAATTGTGGGGGCAACACGGTGGCGCAACTGGTAGAGCTGCTGCCTCTCAGTGAGCAGGTCCTTGGTTCAAACCCCGGTCCAGGGGCCTTTCTGGGTGGAGTTTGTATGTTCTCTCCGTGCATGCGTGGGTTTTCTCCGGGTACTCTGGTTTTCTCCCACAGACGAAAAACATGCATGTTAGGCTGATTGGTAACTCTAAATTGTCCCTAGGTGTGAGTGAGAAAGTGAATGGTTGTTTGTCTCTATGTGTCCCTGTGATGGACTTGCGACCCATCCAGGGTGTACCCCACCCCCCGCACAGTGATTGCTGGGCATGGACACCAGCGACCCCCGTGACCCAAAATGGAATAAGCGGGTAAAGATAATGGATGGATGGAATATAAAATTGTGTTAATCTACTTCTTGAGGCGGAGGCAGGTCCAAGGTTTAAAAGGTAAAAAAAAGCCACGTTAAGCTCAGATGGACAGCTGTCACCGGCCGTGCACGTCCGCTGACCCGCTGGTTGAAATGGACTTGCGACCTGTCCAGGGTGTCCCCTGCCTCTCGTACAGTGATGACTGAACATGGCACCAGCGACCCACGCTACCAGAAAAGGAAGAAGGGTAAATATAATGGATGGACGGGTCAGATGATCACCGGCAGCTTGCGAGCATTCCCGCACCTGCTGTCATTTGTGGTGAAGGAAGTATCAGCATCTACAAAAGCCGAAGCGAGTAGCGCGTTCATTTAAAATAGCCTTGTTCTGTATTTTTCCAAATTATTTTGCTTAAACAAAAACAAAAATTGTCTCATTACGTATCAGATCCTGCCCATTTCTGTCCAAATCACAGAGATGCCTATTCACATTGGATTAGTGTTATCACAGGACCTCGGAGTTCAGCAAAATATAGTAGGTCATTTGTAAGGAAATTTTTGCACTTTACAATTACTGACATGGCTGATTCGCATGGGATTAACAACAGACAATCTCTGTAATTATTACAAATAGCATGTGGTCCCTAGGTAAAACGAATCTCGTGCGAATAGGGCTTTAGAGATAGTGCGAGAAATTCAGTTATCCAGGAATGACTCGAGTACAACTGCTGCTCCTCCACATGGAGAGGAGCCAGTGGAGATGGTTCAGACATCAGGTAAAGATGCTCCCTGGGCACCTCCGGACAAGGTGCTTTGGACATGTCCAACTGGGAGGAGACCTCAGGGATGATTCAGGACACGTAGGAGAGACTATGTCTCTTGGTTGGCCTGGGAACCCCTTGGTGTCCTCCCAGAAGAGCTGGAAGAGGTGGCTGTGGAAAGAGATGTCTGGACCTCCCTTTTCAAGCTGCTGCCCCCGAGACCTGACTTCAGAACAAGTGGAAGATGATGGATGGATGGAAGGGACAGTGGGCGACTGTGGCTGAGTGGTTAGAGCAGTCATCCTTCAATGCGAGCTTTGGGGTTTCGATTCCACCAGCAGTCACATGCCGAAATATCCCTGGGCAAAACACTGAACCCCTCATTGCCTCCGATGTGACCCATCGGTGAATGAATTAGGGATGGGGCCGATCCGATATCGGCCTCAGATACCAGCATAATTTACGTATCAGATTTTTCTGATCCAACCTGCTGATGTTTCCGATCCATGATGCATGTCTGTGTCTGATGACCTGCTCTGCAGGTTGTCTTCAAACTATGGAATGGATTTCCTGAACAGAGGCATGTCTCATGAAACCCAGAGTAATAAGACCCGCCTCACATTCAGGAAATCCATTTCATAGTTTGCAGCCATACTTTTTGAGGGCTGAGCACTGAGCAGCACTGTTGCTAACGGCTAACCAACTTTTCATCGTAACACGTGTGAAAGTATTTTACACTAAACACCGTAAGACAGCAACATGCAATGTCTGCAGAGCCGCTGTACAGAGAGGGGGAAGCTCAGTCACGCCCTACAATACATCGAACTTAAAAATTTGAAAAAGTACCACATTAAAGCGCACAAGGATTGTTTAACCAGGCACCACGGTAAAGTTATTTTTATATTGGATGTTCGAGCTCCGTGGCTTCAGCGGTGTGTTTCTCTTGTTCAATCCGGAGCAGACAGTCTGATTTCAGTCAGCCGCGCTCAGTCTTCCCGTCTCGGAGGAGCAGACTGAGTGAGGCTGACTGAAATCAAACTGTCTGCTTCACAGCTTGACTGAATATTTGCAGCCAAGATATAGTTTACATTTACCCTCCAGGAGATATTTATCAGCTCAAGATGAGAGTTCTGTGATGGAGTTAAATTCAAAGCAGTCTACTCAGATAAATAATCTTAAATTATTATTTTTATATATGAATGTTTCTGTTAACTTATTGTAATGTTTCTGTACAGTGCTCTGAAATGACTTCTGTTGTGACTTGGCGCTATATAAATAAACATAACTGAATAGACACATAAAAAAAGATTATGAACTGAAAAATAAAAGAAAATTATATATGAATATATAAAAAAAAGAAACAAAACAGCTAAATTATAAAGCGATGTAAAATACAAAAAACAGGAGCATGTTTGTGTTGGTTTATGTCATGAACTTAGCAGATGTTTGAAGCCATTTAATCCCTTTAATATCCACTTTAAAGATAGGAATGAAACAAACAGTATGTTTTGTATTAGCATGATTTAATTCTAACTTTGAAACTTAACCAACATAAAAAAAAACTTACCTCAAGTTGTCTTTTTGGACATACAAGCATATATTTGTACAAACTGTACTTGAGAGATTACAGCCTCATAAAATCAATTATGATATCGGAATAGTATTGGTAGTGGACGATATATAGATGTAGGGATCAGGATAAGATCGGAAGTAAAAAAATGTGAATCTGTGCATCCCTGGTACGAATGTCACCTAAAGCACTGATTAGTCTCTTTAGAATGATTTGTTCAATTATCTTTGTATAGATCTAGTAGAGTGTAGGAATGGGTAAATGAGGACATAGATTATAGTGTAAAGAGCTTTGCGTATCTTGATAAGATAGAAAGGTGCTATAAAAGTACAGACCATTTCCTAAAATTTGTTTTTACAGTGTATTCTAATGTGGCCAATGTTCCCCCTCAGGAACATGAGTGTAGTAAAGTTACTGTGAGGTTATGAGAGCTTTTAAAGAAATTCTGACAAAACCTTAAAAAGGAGAAGGATCGTTAGGCTTTGTCAGAAAAAGAAAATCCTGTTTATTGACTGCACCAAAATATATGAACAAATAAAAGTGCAGACATAAAATGTGTGTGGCTGATTTTTCTCCAAAATACGACAAAAGGGTCTTTTGCAAACAAATTAAGAAACGGGTCCATTTTTAGGAAAACAAGTTCATATTGAATGTAAAAAAGTTGTTACAGTCATGTTCCTCACTCTTTCACGTCACACAGACTTTCAACTGTTTTGAAAGTGGATTTATATGACTATGCTCAACCAAGATACCAGCCCATGCCGATGTGAGTACTGTGCATAAAACTTACTACAATTGTTTTTCATCAGCCTGGAGGAGCATTTCCCACAGACGGATGTCTAGTACGATGTAGCCAGAAAGTTACTCTTTCACCTCGTTTTTGCTTGGATGGATTCTGCCCTTTCTTCATTTCACAGGTGATGAAAATGTTTCTTTCAACAAGCATGTTCAGGCTCACAGCACTCAATGGAGGTAGAACTAAATTACATTTAAATCCTGACTGACTTTCATGACAATCTGACACCAAGAATGTAGTTTCTGACACAACAAACGTCATGGAGGATGCAAACAATACAAACTATCTTTCAGCTGTAATTAATTTCAAACATGTTTTTCAGAAAAGCAGTCAGAAGATGATGTCACTGACATTACGGGTACTGACTGAGGACACATTTATTTATTTAAAAAAATTATAGGAGATCACCAATGATCAATCTTACAAGTGAGGTTCAGTTTTTAACATTTTACCCAGTAACGTTTGTAAAGCCTGACTATAAAGTTGAACAAATCCTGAATTAATTCATTACCCTGATAAACGCAAAGTTGTTTGAACACGTATACAAATAATTAAAGACTTCTTTATTTTAACAATTTGTAACTTCCATCACTGCATGCTCACTTCTGAGAAACTCATCATAATAAAATTTATTATACCATCAATATAAAAAACGACTCAATTAAAAAAAGCTACGAATAAGAAGATATAATCTATAAAACTCGATGAATTATATAAACCTTGGTCAGACAAGCTAGGCCCAAAGTTTAAGCAGCTTCTGTGCTACACGATTGATCTAACAATTTCAGCCTCATGACAGCTTCCTGAGTGTTTATTTAAGGACATTTAAAATCATCTCAATGATAAGATAAAAAGTCAGTTTATTACAAACAGTGTCCACAAGCCAGAAAAACTTTAAAATGTTTCGGTTTCCGTTAGCTGTTAAGCTAACACCGCCAATATGCTAACTCGTGCATTTTTACCTCAATAATCTTTTCCTTTTTCTTCTCTTGAGTTTTTTTATTTCCCGTGGCAGGAGGAGGTTTCTTCGGCGGCATGCTGGCTCAGGAACTGCAGCGGAATATTTAATTTAATGAGGTCTATTGGCTGGTCAAACTGCCCCACATTAAACAGCGGTTGCTAGCACGCGACAGGCGCCTTCTAGGCCACATGTGAGTTGTTGATGTGCTGTTACGTCATCACGCACCACAAGAGGCAGCATGGGAGAAGTAGTTTATTTGACAAAAGTTAAATAAATGCCTTTACACATTTACCATGTCAAACACTCCGTGGCATTTTACATTAAGTCTCACTACTTGTTGCTAATTAGGCAAAAGGGCGATAATGTTTTGTCCATGCTTGTGTGTCTTCATTTGTACTTCTAGCAAAAAGTCTAATGAAGTGCAGAACATATTTTAATTGAAACTTTCAGAGAGCACCGTAATCATTATACACACACATCTACACAACTCATTAACTTTGGGAGCAGATGCAATTCATGATGTTTGCCACAGGCAGCTGAACTTACAAAACATAAACATGGCAACATCTTAGCTAATTTTACAAATACTGAGCTGCACTTTGAAGAAACCAAGCAGCGTGCAACATGTCGTTTGAGCAGAACACATTTGTTTAAAACCTTACAATTAACAGTTGGAGACAACCCACGATGGATGGATGGATGGATGGATGGATGGATGGATGGATGGATGGATAGATAGATAGATAGATAGATAGATAGATAGATAGATAGATAGATAGATAGATAGATAGATAGATAGATAGATAGATAGATAGATAGATAGAAAGAAATATTACTTTACAAACTAGTAACAGTACAAGTTATGTTTATGTTTGTTACCCTGTTTGTAACAAACATAAAAAAATAAAAACAAGAAAAACAAGTAGGATGTATGTAGATTGTGAAAATGATTCAACAATGATGGCAGCAGAGCTGCATCAGCCTGTGTGAGTAGAGAGGATGGTCCAGGTTGTCCATGATGGACAGCAGCAGTGTCCTTCATGTCTTGTCTGCAGCTGATAATGGAGCCTGCCTTCTTACAGTAATGAGCTTCCTGAGCCTGTTGGTGTCACTTGCTCCGATGCTACTGCCCCAACAAACCACTGCAACTCTGTCCACAGCAGACTGGTAAAAGATCTCCATCATTCTGCAGCAAACATCGAAGGACCTCAGCTTCCTCTGCTCATCCCCTTCTTGTACACATCATTAGTGTTGGATTACCAGTCCAGTCTGCAGCTGATGGTGACTCCCATGTGTAGTCCTCCCCCCACCTTCTCTCCTTTAATGCACAGGTTGTGAAGACACCTGTCCATTTAAAGCTCTAGTAGTCAAGAATAAAAAAAGGCTATACTTTAACACATTTTACAGATGCTGAGCTGAAATATGGTGTGGTAGTAGCTGACAGTCACTCTACAGTAATAACATTTGACTGCATATAATCTTATTTTCAGTGTTTAATATTACTATTGTTGAATAGTTTTAAACAACACAAAATTACCAAGAATTAAAGATGTGTTGTGCACACAGTATATTTTCTCTTGCATTCTCAAGGAAATGAAAATAACATGGCATGTCAGGGAATTCATAACAGAAAACAACTGAGAATATAAAAAAATATATAATTTAATAAAAAATTAAGAATTGCCAAATCATTAAAATATATATAAACAGACTGTGTCAACGGCTGCAGCACTAATATTCTCACATATGTTTTCCCTTTTCTACTCAATAATTTACTCACGCTTTATTATATGAAACGGACAAATGTTTTCTTTATATATCCACATTACTAAAACAAAACCATGTGGTTTGTTAGAAACATTTTAACTGCAGATCTTTGCAGGTTTAGTCTTTCTCCATCAGGTGTCAGCGATGTACCATCTGCCAGCTGAGCTGAGGGACAAACTGGAGACCAATATTATAAACTAACCCTGAACATAAAAGTTATGTCAGATTAAAATCTACATATATGTTGGAATAACTGTGTTTGGATGTGGTTGTATTTACCGTATTTTCTGGTGTATAAGTCGCATCAGTCAAAAAAAAAAAAAGCACCATGAACAAGAAAAAACATGCAAAGTATATAAGTCACATTTATTATCATAACCACGTCGTGTTTATTATGCGTTTATTTAATGGTCAAAACAGCTTCATTTTGCATGGGTGGCACAGCACCATCCATCCATCCATCCATCCATCCATCCATCCATCCATCCATCCATCCATCCATCCATCCATCCATCCATCCATCCATCCATCCATCCATCCATCCATCCATCGCAGCCGAAGCCGCTACATCGTTTTTCCGCCTGCACCAGCTGAGTGAAGCGAGTGCACACAGGAGGACTCTCTGTTGCAGTTCTTTGAAATTTAAAGCGTCAGTCAAAAACTGAGTAATGAATATGGGGAAAAAAAGTATATAAGTCGCAGGACTAATAGGGTATATTTTTCAGCTATTTAGGAGGAACCTTCTGAGCTTTGGCAAATCAGAAATGCAGAAACTTTTACTGAAGTGCTTTTATTCCAGGTGGTGCATGAAATCATTGTTATGCATCATCCAGACGGTTAATGTTCAGCCAGATGTTTTAGTTTTTACCTGTTTCTCTGTTCTGAATCCAGTGTTGGGTTCAGTTCATTTACACTGCGCCCGTTCACAACAACGTCTCACACTCATTATAGAAGGCCAGGTTGTAAACGTTATCTAATGAAGCCAGCAGATCACTTTGTCACATCTTACTGCTCAGGTAAGACACACCTGGACTGACTTTGTAGTTTTCAAAAGTGCTGTGAGGGAAAATATGTCGGTGTCAGGGTGTGAGCTGCAGTCGTCTGTGATTCAACTCCAGGAAAAGTGTTTGTTGGGTCGTGGCTGCAGGGCAGAGAGCCAACCAGCAGGAGTTTTACTGCTTCAGCTGCTGATTCAGCTGCATTTAATTAGATTTCACTTAACTTTTAATGTAATTTCATCTGGCACGTTGGAGACGTGTGGCCTTCATCCACGTCCTGCACCAGTTCAGTGGTCAGCTCGCTCTCTAATGTTGTGTGTGTGAGTGTGTATGTGCTGTACGGACACAACACACAGCACAGCCATGACCCAAAATGGGTCACACACGCCTGCTCCTCTCGGGCTCCTATTTGCTCTCGTGCGCTGTAATGAGCTTTGATTTTCGAGGGTTAGGGACAACATTTACTCAGTTTGGGTGCACACATAATGGCGGTGCTGGAAGTGGTCTTTAATGAATCCCAGAGTGCGACAGTGAATTTACCCCGGTAATATCATCCCTGGCTGCAAATGTGCTACAGAGCAAAGTGTCTACATCGTCTTTTATGCTCGGCTGCAGCTCTGTTTCATTTCCTCTGATGAGGAGGGATTTATTTCTCATGCACGGTGCTTTCTGGATGAATGTGTGCATCGTAACCTATACTGACAATACATCTCTTCGCTGTAAGGCTGAGGCTTGAAGACAAGAAAGCTGTGTGATATTGCCGCAAGCAAACTACATCTCCTTTCCTCCGTCTTGCTCCATCCTTCTCTTTTCCTGTGAAGATATTCTGAGTGTGAGAGCAGCCTAATAAATCACAACATCAGCTACAAGAACATGTTTTTCCCAGGACAGCCCCCTTCATATTCATCCAAACATTGATCTTTCTTCTGCAGAGGGCATAGGTGTCATGTACACACACACTGGAGGCACTCTTCTATTGTGATGCCTGCAGATGTAAGAAACCGCCTCCTGCCTAATTAGCAGAAGCTCAACACTTTCCTCCCTGCTGAGAAGGCTTGACACCGCACAACCTGTGTGACTCGAGCTTCACCGTCCAAAGGCAAAAGTGCGACAATGTTTTGTGTTTGTTGTTTGTCTTTGCCGTTAGCAAAAACCTCACGAACCAGACAGACTTTATTAATTGAATTCCCCAGGGGGGTTGATGCTGGGCATTTTTTAATTTTGAATAAAATCTTGAATAAAGTATATATAATTTTTTTTGAATGCGGACCCCCAATCACTGGCTCGTGGAACCCCTTGGGGTCCAGGGACCCCAGTTTGAGAACTGCTGGCATAGAGATCTGAAAAATAATTTTTCTTTAGGACCAATAATCTCAAGCACTGTCTTGTTGTAGCATAGTTAACATGCTTTATGAAAATGTGTGTCTCTAATACTCTTTAGAACTATAAAACTGGCTCTTGCGACAATATACAGTATTACTTTAAATATGCTAATTTAAATTTTTTTTTTATTCATTCATTCATTTGTGAGTTTTTAAAGTCTAGTCTAGTTCTAGAAGCAGAATGTAAAAAAAAGTTTTAGCCTATTAGGCTAAGGGTTCTCAGTGCATTTATCCAAGATGTTTAATTTAAACTTAAGTTTCACTGATGGGCAACACGGTGCCTCAGTTGGTAGAGCTGTTGCCTCTCAGGGAGAAGGTTGCTGGTTCAAATCCCGGTCCAGGGCCTTTCTGGGTGGAGTTTGCATGTTCTCTCCTGCATGCGTGGGTTTTCTTTGAGTACTGCAGTTTCCTCCCACAGACCAAAAACATGCATGCTAGACTGATCGGTAACTCTAAATTGTTGTGAGTGAGAGAGTGAATGGTTGTTTGTCTCTATGTGTCCCTGTGATGGACTGGAGACCTGTCCAGGTTGTTCCCTGCCTCTCACACAGTGACTGCTGGACATGGGCACCAGTGACCCCTGCGACCCGAAAAGGAAGAAGCGGGTAAAGATAATGGATGGATGGAAGTTTCATTGATGAAATGCAGGTTTTGATCAACTAAAAAGTTGTTTTCTTTTCAATGAATAATTTTGGGGGCTGGATGGAGGTTGTCCAAGGGCCACTTTTGGCCAGACTTCTCATCATTGTTGTAAGATTCAAAACCATTTTAGTTGCATTTTTATGGTTCAATGCACCACACCAAATAAAGTCTAATTATCTAAATTTAGGGGAGGATTTTAACTCATAAAACTTCAGTTAATTAATTTGTATTAATATAATGTGACATTTTGCTGCTCAGACTGTTATTTTGTGATTAACAGACAGCACATTATAGATTATAGCAGCTCCAACAACAACTAGAGCAAGCGTTAAACTATAAAGCACTCATCTTGGCAATTCACTCTGTTAGAGTCATTTTATGTTGTTCATGTTATTTAATTTG